GATGCTTCCATAGTATACAATATCCATGTTACTAGTTAAATGTACGTGAAAGCTACTAAAATATATGAATCAACAGCTTTTTAGCACCAGATCCAGGATCAGAGAGTAAGTTTTCCTATTTAGATTGGCTAACAAAATGCTTCAGTAGTTATATGTACTAGAGTTGACTGTCCTGTTTGAGGCACCTGGGCAGTTTTATTAAGTAATTAATCACAGTAGGAAGACTTGGCATGATTCCAAGATACAACAAGCTATCCAAATAATTCAGAGAGAATATGACACATGCAAGTTGAATAATACATTGCAGAACAGGGCCTGCAGGAACATCCATGCCTTTGCAATGAATTCCTGTTTCTAGAGACCATGATTTAATAAATTGTTCTGTCCAGAGTCAACATCCTAGATTTAATCTTCAAAAACTAAAGAAAAACATAAAACACTCAGCTGTTGGGGATGAAAGATGAATGCCCAACACTACCAACAGGTTATAAATGTCGTTCATGGTAGGTTCATTCGCAGAGGACCTTTAACCATATGGTCGATCTTTTTGCTTAGTATGATATGCAAATTTATCACTATAGCTTGTTCAATAAAACATGCTTTAAAAAACTGACTTAGTATTACATCTGTATGACAAAAATATCTCTGTGCTAAACAGGTTATTTCTGAAAGAAAAAAATATGTCCTGACATCAGAATTCTGTTTAGAAATGGCATCTGGAAGTATGTACAAAACCAAGCTTTGGCTGGGGACATTTGGTAATATTCACATCAGCTCTCCTCACTTCAAAAATCCATCTTAATCTACTTCCTCCCATCATCCAAAAAATAATTAAAAATAAAGCTCTCAAAAATATTGTGCTTTGAAACTGAGCACCATTTTTCTTCTAACCCTAGAGAACAGCTGGCATAGCAAAGAAAAGGAAAATGACAACAACAGCTAACCTGTGGACATGCATACAAAACAGTTTTCTGAAGTAAAGTACCACCTTAATTATTTTAAGTGCCTTCATGTATTAGAGTTAAGGGAAAGGAACAGAAGGGACAAGAGTAATAGAAAATATTCAGATGGATAAATGACAAACAGATGTGAATAGCAGTTTTGCAACATGATTTGTGTAAATATATATTTAGTCAGTCTATTTAACAACTAATATCAGTAGATATTAAAAAGATACAGGCTGGGATCAAAAGACAGGCCTTCTGATTGCAATCAGAGAGTATATATATTTTCAAATCCAGCTTTGGCCCAAGACTTGTTTTCGTCTACATCTTCAAAAAATAAGATGGGATACAATAGTGCTAATCAGGGGAAGATGATGAAAACAGAAACTGCACTAGAAAAAAAAACAAATTTAATTGGAAGACAAGGAAAAAGTGCAAATTCTTGATTTCAAGAGTGAAGAATTGTCTCTATTGTTATCTAATATAATATATGTAATTCTTTAAAAGTTTAAAGAAATAAAATACCTTTGTATTCCATTTCTGAAGCACCACCACTACCACAACCCCACATGTTTTAATGAGGCATTGACTCAGACAGAATAAATAACTCGGTGATGCTGTACCCTGTCCGAGGGTAGGAGGGACTCCGAAAACATATTCTGATTTGACAAATTTAATATATTTAATATTTGGAAAATGTATATTGCCACCTACTTGCTCACGGTGGCTTAAGGTGACTTACAGGAAATAAAAACACAATATAAAAAAATAAAAATAATATAAAATAAACATAATAACTCCACACACTCATAACAGCCATTTAATGGGCTCCATCCTCTCTGGGTTCCCTAGGCCCCTGGGCAGAACCATGTTTTCAGGGCCTTCTGAAAGACTGATAGAATGTGGCCAACTCTAATTTCCAGAGAGATGAATTCCAGAGGGAGGCAGCCACCACAGAGAAGGCCCTTCTTCTGGGTCACACCAGATGTATCTCCTTTGGGGACAGGACATTCCTTACCTCCCCACTCTAGTGGGTTGGTGGCATGTGAATGGCAAGAAACGGTCCCTCAGACAACCTAGTTGCAAGCCATGAAGGACTTTAAAAGGGGACAACCAGCACCTTGAATTGCATCCAAAGCAAATCAGAAATCAATCTAGCTCCCACAGGAGAGGTGATACATGTGCACACCAATGTCTATACAAAACCATATGGGTCACTGCAATTTTCACCAACTGAAGTTTCCAGATACTTTACAAGGGCAGCCCCCTGTAGAGGGTGTTGCAATAGTAAAGACGGGAGATGACTAGGGCATGAGTGACTATGAGTAGGAATTGTTGGTACAGGAAAGGGTGTAACTGGCTCACAACCCGCCGTTGTGCAAAGGTCCTCCTGGCCATGACTGCCACCTGCTCTTTGAGCAGGAGTTGCGAGTCCAGGAAAATCCCCAGATTACACAGAGGGTCCATTTGTGGCAGTGCCGTCCCCTCAAAGACTAAAGCTGGCAATTCTCCACGAACAAAAAATCTCAAACCCAGAGCCACTCAGTCTTATCAGGGTTCAGTTTCAACCCATTACTTCCAATCTAGCTCCTAACAGCCTCCAGGCACTGTGAGAGGGAGATCATGGCATCACTTAACTCACCATGGGCTGAATGTACAACTGAGTAACATCAGCATATGGATATTTCAGACCATGGTGACAGATAATCTTATCCAAAGTAGATGTTGAATAGCAGTGGAGAGGGTACCAATCCCAGTGGGACCCCGCAAAACAGTGAGCAAAGGCTGGATCTCTCATCTCCTATTAACACAGAATGAGAGCGGCCAAAGAGGAAAGAAGTGAACCAGGATAGCACAAACCCTCCCACTCCCAACCCCCAAGGTTGCTCCAGAAGAATACCATGATTGATGGCATCAAAAGCCGTCAAGAGGTCAAGTAGAGCAAGAATGGATGCACTATATCAATCCCACCAGAGATAATCAAAAAGCACCACCATGCCATTTCTATCCCATATCCAGGTCTGAATCCTGATTGGTAGGAGTCTAGATAATTTGTTTCATCCAGAAACCTCTGGAGCTCCCGCGCAACCACCTTCTCAATCACCTTCCCCCAAAAGGGAATATTGGAGACAGGTCTGAAATTATACAATAGGGTGGAATCCAACAATGGCTTCTTGAAAATAGGGTGGCCATAGCCTCCTTAAAGTGCTGGAGCACTACCTCCTCCTGTAAGAAAGCATTAATAACTGCCAAAGTCCACCTGCATGTCACCTCCCAGGAAGCTTTCACAAGCCAGGAGGGACATGGGTCCTGCCCACTTCCTCAGGAACAACAGGGTCAAACTGTTCCTAGATAATAAGGCAAGCACTTGCCCCCTGAGTCTCCACCAGACCAGCATCTAACTAGGTACGAAATTGAGCAATTTTGTCTTCCAGAAAATCCACAAATTCCTCAGCTTAGGTGGACCTCAGTCTTTCTTGTCCTTCCCCAAGTGGAGATGGCACACCTTAAAGCAGGTCGCTAGTCGATTATCTGTAGACGCAATTAGTGTGGAGAGTTATTTATACTTCACCACATGAATTGCTAGAAAGTAGGCCTTAATAACAGCTCTTACACCTGCTTGATCAAGTTCATCCCTTGTCTTCTGCCAGATCTTACATTTTTTTCAAAGAAAGACAAATCCTCTAATCTTAATAGAAAGAGCACTTCATAACAAGTCTGGAACAGCTGTAGTGTCCCTGTTCCTAGAGGGCAAAAATTCTCTAACCCAGCTTTCCCCAACACTATGATTTTTCTAATCTTTCAGCATTCCAATTCCATAATTTCCATCCATCATGGCTGGATGAGTTCCCATCCCAGCATAACTGGAGAACTTCATGTTCAGTAAGGCAGTCTTACATTGTTTTTAAGATATCCAGCAAAAGTTTGGTTTGTCAAATATCAATAATTTAGACATCAATTTAGCAGAGAAGTTCCACAACCTAGGCCTTCTCCAGTTTTTGGACTTCAATTCCACAATTCTCAACAAGACTATGATTGATGAATATTGTGGATTTTTACTGGATATACAAAAGAAGCTGGATGAAGTTTAAAATTAAAGGAAATGTAAGTGATAAACCAAGAGAATGATCTGGTGGTTTTTTTAAAATAGGTAATCTTCGTTTAATGACTATTCATTCAGCAACTGTTCCAAGTTATGGAGATGCTAAACAAATGGTACTTATGGCCAGTCCTTAAAGTTATAGGTCCCAGTAGGTGACCAAAATTTGGATGCTTGGCAATCAGCATACAATGACAACCGAAGTTATCAACTTTCCCCAGCTGTCTATTTATTCGCTCACCCCATACACACAGAGATCTCTACCCTGTACCATGCACAGCGATACTCCTCAGCTGGGACTGAAGTATAGGCCTGGGGCTTTCAGCAGTCTCAGCCAGCTATCCCTGTACCCAAGATCTCTGCTTTTACCTCAACATTGCTGCCAAGGAGTGCCATCTCAAGCCCTGCATATAGCCAGCCACTATAGCACCACAGCACAAAGACTCACCAGCACATTGTCCTGATCACACCCAACTGATCTCTTCCATCTTTTTCCTGCTGCTGCTGAGGCATATCTGACCTGGACCTATGTGAAATAGCTACTGGCTATATCAGGCCTTCTTCTGAAGGCCATCTGCACCCTTCTCCAAATAGCATGTGCTGCTTTTGGAATGGCTTTTGAGGTTGTTTTCCAAATAATATAGCTTTAAACATTTAAAGATCCCTGAAATAATGTAAATAGATAAGAGAGACAAAAAGGCCAAACTAATTATTGAATTTATTTTACCTAGATTTAATTTTGATTGTTTTGTCTTTCCACTTATGTAGCAGAACTCTCAATGCCTCCCATGTTTATAGATATAGGAATGATTGAAGTTCCATGTTTAGCAACATCAAAACATTTCTTCAATCAAATTAGAATGCAAGGAGTATAAAGCAAGGAGTATAAAAATGGGGACAACTTAGAAAAACACAAATACACAAAAACAGCAGCAGTACGGTGTTTTGATTATTACCTGAAATAATTGAGGCAATGCTTTTACCGTTGTATAGAACCATATTCCCACTTTACATGGAAGTAGATCCCGCCACTGTGGTTTTTCCACCAGTCTACAGAAAACACAGTTAAAAAAAAAAAATTACTAGTGGTGCTTTTGCAGCCAACTAGGAATAATAAAGGTTCAAAGTAAGTAACAGCCTATCATGGGAATATGTAGGTAGTTTCATTCAATGCGTAACTACAAAGACAGATATTTCTTAAGATTGGTTTTGCCAATTAGGCTTGTTTGTATCTTTCCAAATAAAGTCTTCCGCCTTTTCTGATGGTTGCAGAAAGAGAGGGAGGGATATTAAGCATCACCAAACCAGTTTCAAGCATTGACAACCAGTTATGAAGACTGTACTACAAGCAAGCCAATACATAAAAATTAATGTCATTTGCCATTCACTGAAGCATTACTTAGTGATGTCATAAGAATGGAGGATGGGAAGAATGGTTTCTGCTCTTTTACCCTGCATTGATTCAGTTCATGTTCCTGCTGTGTGAATTATTTAAGCCTTTTATTTCTTTCTATAATTCAACAAAAGAAAAGATGGTATCTTCTGGAGCATTCTGAATGTCACTATTTCCTCCCCCATGGTTTGTTAGCTTCAAAAGTGAAGATGGAAATAAAACATTTTACTAATCTTTTACTTTTAAAGCCAAACTCTGTCAGACAAACTCAGACTAAAGTAATGAGAGGATCATAGCAAAAGATCATGTATTATGTAACACCACTGAACATAGCCTTCCCTTAATTCTTCGCCTGAAATTAAAAGAAAAAGTAAATTAATGGTTTCTTTATTAAAGTTCTATATAGACTTCAGTGTTTCCTGAAAATTATTCCAAAATGTGTATTCATTTCTTTATACTTTCAAAATTCATTTCTATCAATTAACATCTATAACTTCAGCACTTTTAAAAAAATAAAATATAACTCTTCAAAGATTCCTTTCAAAAAAACCAAAAACATTTCCAAATCTTATTTTCAGTGCCTGTTATGTCAAAAACTATTGTGTTCCTCTTCTATGGAAGGAGCATTTTTACAGAAGTATTTCCTAAATTCCCACCTTTCACTCTTCTCTACACCAAGTTTCACTTCATCACTATTCTTTCCTCCAGACCTTTTCTTCTTTTCCTTTTTTTTTCTACTAAGCAGCTCATCCTAAGCAAGAAAAGAAGAAAAGAAAGAAAGAAGGGTTCCACAATTGTTAGGAAAACTCTACAGATAAAAGTAAAAATAAAACAGGACAGGGGCTGCTAATTATTTTAAAGAAATCATTAACAATGTTGTTTCTATGATAGTCACTCTTTAAAACACTGCTTCCCAAACTTTTTTCTTCATTATGCAAAACCACTTTACAGAAAGTCCTTTTTACCCAAAGTAGATAAAACTCTTTAAGTAAATTTAAATGCTCCTGTTGCAATTGGATAATATGTTCATGTATCATTACCCAAAGAAAAATCACTTTTATCCAACTTTGTGTAATTTACCCAAGTTTGGGTAGGACTTTCTTAAACACATATGATCTCCAACAGTCAGGTATGTTATTCACATTAATCAAACTGTCCCTTTTTTATAATTTTAACTTATCCTTCTCATTCAAAATTGTAATAATGTGGTTCTGAAAATATTTTAAAAATATAGGTGGCTTAACTCCTGAACACTGCTGAAAATGCAAAACCAAATTCAAACATAAATAAGAATGTTCTTTTTTTTCTGGTAATCAGGAAGGAATCAGCATTTAAAACATTTATTTACTTCTGTCATTTTCCATTTGAACCATGGACTATTTATCATCTTTGAAAGACACTTCAATTTGTGGGTGTAGAGGAGACCCTCCATTAAGAGTGAGCATATTTTTTCTTTTAAAAAAAGGGATGGGAGAAAGGAGAAAAAAAGAAAGGAAAGGAAAAAAGGAAAAACTTAAATTAAATATCAAGGAAGGGAATTTAGCTTGATTGTTTTTTCAACTCTGCTTCCTCTGAGATCTTCCGATCTTGATATTAGAATGAAAACTAAATATTTATGTACTTCAAAACGATCTTAACCATTTAAAAAACTTCTAGAGGAAGGAGAGAGAAAATACTTTTTTCTTTTTTCTTTTCTTTTCTTTTCTTTTCTTTTCTCTTTTCTTTTTCTTTCCTTTCCTTTTCTTTTTACGGCTATTATTGTCAGCATGCAATCTGAAAGGCTAATTCAGACAAGAGCCTGTATATCTGCATGTATAAAAGGCAGAGCATGATCAAGATTCCCGAGCTGTGCCAAGACATTTTGCTGCTTGAAGCAATAAACAAGATGGTGAGAGAGACAGCCTGAAGCTGACTGGACAGAGAGCAGAATCTAATTTTCAGCATTGTCCTATCATCAATGTCCTCCACTACACTAATGGAGTATTGCATTTATAGCCCTCTCGGCTGTCTCTTCCAATCCTCACTATTCCATCCCCCATTTCCTGGTTGAAGCTACCTGTTTCTCTCTTTGCCTCCTAACAGATTAACTATTAACAGTGTTAATAATGAGACATTAATGCTTAATTCAGAAACACTGAACAATTCTTGATGATTTTAGAGCAAGCTTCTTACCAGTTGTTTTTCCAGGTAGATAGACCAAACCACGGCATAATGTCCTACTGTGAGGATAATGAACAGAAGTAATGCCAACTCTTCATTGCTCATTTTCCTCACTCGCCTGTAATAAAATACAGGCTGTCGCCAATCTGGTAGCCCATTGATCAGAATATCATCATACCTAGGGCAGTAAAAACAAACAAACAAGCACTCATAATGCATTTAAAATTAACCTATTTCCTTCTTTTTTAATGAGACAGATATGGCTATTTTGTTTCACTCATCAGATGTTTTGTTTTTAACAGCAAACTCCTACAATTATATAGCTTGTCGACATTTAATCTGGGTTCCTAGGATAAAATTTCGAACCAGACTGCTATGGAAATGTTTACCACCGATTACTTTAAAAATGGTGACTCTACTGTTCTTACAGCTCCCCCAATTGATTCACTGGAGAAGTGTTTTTTCTCAACAATAAGCCACATGTGTTCAGCCTACCTGCCAATCAAGGGTCATGTTCTGAGAATAAAAGAATTACAAAAGGATGATTGTAAGTGGAAAGGCAAAGACCATCAAAATCATTTATTGCCTATAATTCCTTATTTATAGCCATATGTAGAAGTAGCCTTAATTCTCCAAAACATATTTAGTTTTTTAAAACTTTGATGTGGAAACTAATTTAGGAATGACTAATTTAATTGTAAACATTTAAAAAAAAGAACTATCATTTTAAAAATATAAAAAAGAATAACTTTAGCCTAGTAAGAATTTTCATTTTAAAGGTTGAATTTGCATTACTTCACATTAAAAAATAATATGGATATTTTTTTAATATTTACTCTTACTAGTGTTTTAAATGGATGATTTAAACACCCGCCAGACAATATTAATTTCTTAAATGCATAAAAATAATTTTCTCTGAAAAAAAACAGACAAGTCTATTATTGAAAACAGTTCAAATGGAGACATATTATATGCTCAAATTAATCCTAAATAGAGTACAGCTCATTGAATATTCTAATCACACTATTTCCAGTATTAAATCTGCACTAAAGGACTAATTTGGTGCAACACATTGACCAAAATATTTTAATTAAAAATATTCTGAGTTAGTCGCAGGCCTAATTACAGGAATAGCAATAGGGCCTATATTGTCATGCAGGTCAGTAGGACTCAGTAGTAGGTTTTTCTCAAGTAAATTGACCGATCCAGGAATAATGGTGCAGCTGCTAAACTGCCAGTCTTGACATGTAAATCAATTTAAATGCAACAACTGCAGTAGCTACTTTGACAGTTATTAAATTGATACCTTGGAGATATCTTAACAGAGAAAGTCAAACTTTTAAAATATCTTTTTATTTTAAAAAAATCAAATCAAATTTTCATTGAATACCCAGCTCATACTGTTCATTAAGCAAAATGCATTTTATTTCTATAGTTAAATGTTAACAGAACACATATAATAAAACTATCTTATGTTAGTTGGTATCTATAAGATTTAAAAAACAGAATAAAATATAGCTTTATAAATTCACTTGAAGTCTTTAGCCAATACCATTCCTAAAAGGCTTAAACTACAATACTAAACACACCAGCAATTTCCATAGCATTCAATGGATTTGATTTCAAGTAAACCTGCATAAGTTTTCACCAAAAAATCTTTTTCTTCCAAAAATAAAGAGAATCTCATTACTTTTTGAGATTCAAACTATCTTAAAATGTTAAATGGGTTTTTAAAAACAGTTAAATATTTTTTAGATTATATCAAGTCTAAAATTGAAACACATTTAACAAAAAATAGTATAATTTGCATATCAATTAGAAATTTCAGATTAAAGTTACAGAAATTAAACCAAAATAGAAGTTTATTCCAATACATCTAACAAATATAGTTCACTAATAGCAAAAAATCAATAAGATTATTTTTCAAAAACTGCACAATTCACAACTCGTGTATTTTTAAAATTTGTATGCCATTCTTCAAGCCAAGTTTTTCAAAAACAGATTTCAAATTAAAATTACAAATAAAAAACAATAATCATAGTAGTTATACCTCTTAAAATACTTTTAATATATTTCCAGATTTGATGCAAGAAAATCTCACATGCTAAAATACACTAAACACTAAGTATTTACCAAGCTCTATCTGCTATTTTGAACAAAAGTCTCCAAGGATTTAGTTCCAGAATCAATGCTCTATTGATTTTACTATCAATGAACATTATGGCTCACATGACAGGCCATTTTAAGGGAAGATAGCTTCTATTATATTCCACTTTTTAGAATATATACTGTCAAAAAATAAATCACTGAGTTCTGTGGCAATTCAGGACTATATTTAAAAATTAAGCTGTCTGCTTAATTTTTAGGAGTACATATAAACAATGATCCTTAGTTAGTCAGAATGCTTTGATAATTTTAATCTTGTTTTTCACATTTAGGAAATTAGATAATTAGGAAGTATACAGACAATTCATTATAGCCCTTGTTTGCAGAAATCAATCTATCACATAGAATGAATCTTCAAAGACATGCAGGAGAATGAAGCACATAAGCAGATTGTCAAGCAGTTTTTCTGTTCTCTCCATTTGCCCATTCTCCTAATTTCCTCATTTCAAATTATGAATTACATAAAGAGAAAATAATTCACTATATTCATAACTAATAAAGGTCAGAATAAGATTCCCCCAAATTCCCCCTAAAGTATTTCTTCAAACTAGAGATTTATTTTGCAAAAGATGCAGTTACTAAACAAAAAAATTGGTTCCTCTTATTTAGGTGGCTCAAGGCTACTATAGTGTAATTGGCTATCACATATGAAAACCCAGAGCTATAGTCCCTACTTTTTAATTAAAATTGTGACAAGATTAGAACTGAAAATTATCACCAAATTTAACTGACTCTTCAAAATTATTTTGTATTGCTTTGTCTTCCATTTGTTTTGGGGAGAGTGGAGGGAGAGGGAGAGGGAGAGAGAGAGTGGAGGAGGGAGAGAGAGGAGAGAGAGAGAGAGGGAGGGAGGGAGGGAGGGTGTGTGAAAGAGAATGAATGAATGTAAATGAGTTTCAGAACACTTCTATATTTTCCATATGGTAGTTGCAAAAACCTATTCATTACAAAAAAGTGCTAGGATATACAAGACTGGTGTTGGAACAATTATTTTGGTGCTCCACCAATTATTTTGGCCACAATAATTTTAAAAAGCTATTGATGAATTGAAAGGAACACTCTGAAAAAGTTATCAAAAAGATGTTGTTCTAAAGACCTTTTTATTTCACCAGGCGGGCCTGGCCTAACTTTCTCCCTCTTTTTTAAATAATTTTAATATTTTAATATGTTTAATATTTTTTAATCCTCAAAGTTTAAATCTGTTTTAAATTGACTGGGGTTTTAATCTGTCTGGGCCAAACTATTTAATTCGATTTTATTTCTGCTTTTTTAAATTTTGTATGTATGTATGTATTTTATTGTTGGCTGTTCACCGCCCTGAGTCCTTCAGGAGTAGGGCGGTATACAAATCAAATAAAAGTAAAAGTAAAGTAAAAGTAATAATTAAAGTTTTTATATAAATAACAAGTTTGGATTATACTTTTTAAAATTTGTCTAATGAAAGGGAAATAATTTGTTGGATATCAACTTAATTTCATCTACATATTAAAGCTAGACACCAAATTTACATTCTAACTTGGCAACTAAAGTAACTATCTTGAAAGTAACTCCTATCAATCCATATATAATAGAGATCATGGAAATTTTAAATATTATTTTACCTGCTGTTCACTCATCTACTATGTGCAGTAGGATATTAAACCTTTGGGCATTGTGCAACAATTTCCAAACTACTATTTATCTTCCTCCAACTTCAGAATGCAGATCGTTTGACATGTAAACAATTCAAAGGGGAATTCAAAAGTTCAGCCTTTGTACAGCTTCTCTTTCACATGCTCTGGAACCAAAGGTTCAAATTTCTTGTGAATTGGGAATAGGGTTCTGAACAAACAGATTTAGAACCAGAAATTCAAGCTTTCTTAAAAATTCTGGTACATATTTTAGATATGCTGGCTTTATTTACAACAATGATATTCAATAGGTAAGCAATATTTAAAATGATTGTTACAGCACATAAGATAAATGGAACATCGGCACCCTGAGCAAAATATTTATTTCATGGCAAAAAAAGGCTGAAAATTGAAATAGCTGAAAATTTTGATCCAAATAATATGTTCAAACTTTAATATTATTACGACCAACAAATCTGAAGGAAATTAATTAAACAGATGCATTGTGCAACTGGGAAAAATATACTTTTAAGAAGGAAAAAGCATTTAAATAGCACTAGTTGTCTCTTGATTAGCTGTTATTTAAGGAAGATAAATATCCTCCATATTGTAATCAACACCAGCAGTTTTTCAACTGAATCAGTGAACCAGTAGTCAAAAATTCCTGCAGGCAAATACCTGGGGAAAGATTTCTCATAGAAGAATGGATGTTTTGTTTGTTGCTTTTAAGAGGAAACACCTGCTGCTACTGCATATTCCTAGCATCATGGAAGAGATCATCATAAGAGATTCTGAGGCATTTAAAGCATCATAAAATTTAATTTTTGTTTAATTGTAAATCATTCTTAAACATGGGCAGAGATTGGACTCCTGTAATGCCACACATTTCTAACATAATTTTAGTAAAATTATGAAAATTATAAAAAGCCTCCTGGCCCCCCGTGGCCAGGGGGGGCTTTTTATCAGGTTTGCCTGATTCGCCAGTTGCAGCCCTTTCTGGACCGGGACGCCTTGCGCACGGTCACTCATGCCCTTGTCGCCTCCCGGCTGGACTATTGTAATGCTCTCTAAATGGGGCTCCCCTTGAAGAGCACTCGGAGGCTCCAATTGGTCCAGAATGCGGTCGCACAGGTGGTTATGAGGGCAACCCATTGTGCCCACGTGACACCCTTCCTGCGCGAGCTGCACTGGCTCCCAGTGGTCTCCCAGGGGCGATTCAAGGTGTTGGTTACCACTTTTAAAGCGCTCCATGGCATAGACTCGGGTACCTTCGAGACCGACTTCTGCCACCAGTAGCCTCCCACCGGCCAGTTCGCTCCCACAGAGAGGGTCTCCTCAGGGTGCCATCGGCCAAGTTATGTTGGCTGGCAACACCCAGGGGGAGGGCCTTCTCTGTGGGAGCCCCAGCCCTGTGGAATGAACTGCCCCCAGAAATGTGTAAGATCTCCGACCTCAGAGTATTTCGCTGTGCCCTTAAGACCCTGGTGTTCCGTCAGGCCGGGCTATCAATGTAACGATTTTAAATTGGATGTTTTAAATTTTGGGGGGTTTTAATATTGAGCCGAAATTATTTAATAATTTTAAATTATTTTAATTGTTGTTTGTTAATTGTTGAGTCCTTTGGGAGAAGGGCGATTTAGAAATAAAATTATTATATTATATTATATTATATTATATTATATTATATTATATTATATTATATTATTATATTATATTATATTATTATATTATATTATATTATATTATATTATATTATATTATATTACATTACATTACATTATATTATATTAATTATATTATATTATATTATATGTACAATGTGTAAATATTTACATGAAACTTCTAAATAATAATATCCATAGCCAGCAACTACAAAAGGCAATTCCTTGACATTCCATCTGTATTAAAGAAAGAAGGCTGAAAATTTTAGAATCTAAATCTTTAGTATCAGTGCATATAAAATAAGCACTACAAAAAAATAGCAAAAATGATGCACACATATGTATATGTGGCAAGAAGTTGCATTTAAAGTAGCTCGTACCTTTGCAACCATTTGACACAAGACATTGACCCCCCATTGTTTAACTTCCTAAACTTCCTTGATCTATGACTCCAAGCTGAAAGAGTGCAGTAGGAGGCAGGGTAAAAACCATACACAAAATCACCAAAACTCCTCTGAACACTGTTCCTTGGCTCTTTCAACACAGAGGATTATCTGAAAGTAGATAATCTCTACTATGAGACCTGGAGTCATGCCAAGGCGTCTACAAAGCCAAGAACCCCTAGAGAACATTCAGCACCCCTGCTCAGAATATTGAAAACCTAGAGATATTTCAAATAGATCTCCTATCCTGTAGTAAGCCTTTTCTTCCTTCCCCCAAAATATCTGGGTCACCAATAGTTAAATTGAGTATCTTAACAAACCGTGTAAGTCCTGATTCTTATTCTACAAGAATTGAGAAAAGCAAACCAAGCATAAGTGATTGCCTGATTATGTTCTTTTCTCATGGAGAGTAAAAATATTTACTGTGTTTTGCCCATTAAAGAAATTACTGAATAACATAAAAACAATTGAAAGCTAAGTATACTCATTGTTCTTAAGTCTATGCATTTTGATAAAATAGGTGTGGCAGAGAAGAAACCCTGAAGATGGCAGGGGGACTTGTTCTGAGGACCAAATTAACGATCAGAAAAGTAACAGTTAAACAAGAATCTGTTAGTAATTGAAAAACACAAATATATTTTGTGAGCAACTATAGAAACCTCTGTTCCCTAAGAGAAAAGCCATTCATACTTATTGAGAATTTAGCAACAGTTAGAAATGTATGTAACAATCATAACGCAAATCATAATCCTTGCAAGAAGCGCTGAAATTCTAGCTCATGTTAGTGGCTATACAGGTTGAAAATATTGTTTTGAGATATATTCAAGATAAACTCACCTACGCCTTCTCTCTTCATCCTTTAAAACCTCATATATGGCCACCAACTAGAATAAAAGGTACTTTTATGTTCAAAAACTCTGCACTGAAAAACCAGAGAGTTTTGCTGTAAAATTGTAAAAATGCTGGACTATCTTTCTTAAAAAGCAAACAAAGAATAATACAAATAATTTCTTGAAAATATTTAAAACTCTCAAACATTTCTACCAATATTCCATCTTTGGCAGTTCTAAATATTTTTTCTCCACAATTAAAGTAATATTAGTTTAATTGTTATTTAGCCTAAAATAAAAATATTAAACATTTTAAAACATTTTATTGGTTCACTAATATAAAATCTACCAACAGATTCCATGTGAAGTAGTGAGGAAAAAATATTTCAACATAACTAGAGCTCAATTTTAATGTACAAGTAAACCAAATCTTGTACAAATATTTGCTTTCCATTTCCTAAAGTATAGCTTGTGACCTTGTCCTAACAAAAAAAAAAAAAAAGATCCCTTAATGTCTAACTCCCAAATTTAAGAATTGTCATCTAAGAAGGTTCTATTTTATACAATGTTCCTTTCATCTTTTTGTTTTGTTTCATCTGAACCCTGTTTTAAATATTTAGGAAAAAAGTAAAGCTTAAATGCTTCCAAAATCCTGAATTCGTTTCTAAATATAATACCATAGACATAATGAGGTACATTTTTCATATTTTTAATGATCACTTAAAATTTAATAGTACTTATCACTTACTTGTCTAAACTGTGTTTCAGCATTTTCATCTTTATTCTTGTCTGGATGTAATATCAGTGAAAGCTTGCGATAAGCTTTCCTAATATCTGCTGATGGAGCATCCTACAAAACACAAAGCAAACTTTGTAAGAAATGAATTTCCAGAACCTTGTTAAGATCGGAGAAGGCAGCCAACCAAGCGCAGGGACCTGAGGCAATGTAATTTGAGCAATCATTCTTTATAGCCAGGATATGCAGCCAGTTAGGCCCAAAAGACTGAACAATCGGTCAATCTAATTTTGTTCTCCTCTTAACTTGTTTCAATATCATGTGCTCATTACAAGAAGACAGTATTGTCAGGATACTTTCAAACACTTGTTTTCTTAAAATGTGCAAATAAATCTTCAGTGGCAATTAAGAGATCAAGTGGATAAATTAAAATTAATATATCTGCCTATCTTGAAAAATATGATCTTTTATTCAGGAGTTTTCTTATTTCTATAAATTGCACTACTGACTAAAACTGGTTTTATTACTAAATTTATATCCCTTTAATTTCTTTCAGACAACCACTGACACTGCATGCTGCATAAAAGGACTTGTAAGAAGTGCCAGCTTCATTTTCAAAAGAAACAGAAATACAAACAAAAGCAATTCCTCAAATTTCAGTTCAATTGCAATTTATTTTATTCTTTAATCTTGAAAAGGCCAATTAACTACATTTTGGGGAAAATCTCAATACTTCTTTTCTAAAAAATGCACAAAATGATGTATCTGACTCCTAGTGCTTTTCTTAAGAGACATTGTTCCTGTGCCTTCCACAACTGAACAAAATACCATTTGATGTACTATTGAGGGAAAAGATTATTTAATAGTCATTGTGTCAAAAATATTCAAAGATATAGTATTTTGCTTCTCATCCAAGAAACTTCATCAGTGAATCATGAACTGATGAAGCTTCTTGGATGAGTGGTGAAATGTCTTCTTCCTCAAGAAAAAAAACATAATCCAATTGCCTTTTGAAAAAGCACCTTTGAGACAAGCCCAAAAGATACTTGGGACAGGATTAATTTTTTGTCAAAAAAAATCAAGAATTAAGGATTTGATTTTAGAAATGTTTTATTTAAGTTTCTGTCAATATGCTCAATGCATTCTCAATGTATATATGCTGAACACTTTCTAAAATACAATATATATGTGCAAACTTACTATAATCAGTCAAAGCAGAAAGATCCTCTAAAACTGTAAACCAAAATTAAGGCAATTAAAGCAGCACTGTAATTAGTCTGTCAAACCTTCCAATACAAAGCAATGTTTACCTTACATTTATAGCATAGTATAAAATATTTGAGGCCAGAAGGAAATAATAAGTTGGGGTTTATTCTGTGTGAGGGAATGTCTGACTATATAGCATACATACATTGAGAAGCTACATCCAATAATCATATATATGCCATGAAAACAAATCCTTGAAAAAGGTATATGATTTATACAACTGCAGATTTCATTCATCCAGCTCCTAATCTGAAGTGTTTTTCATATAGGAAGTGTGCAATGGCTAAAGCATTTTTGACTAATTAATGGAGAGAATGAGTACCAAAACCTTTTGGATAAAGAAAAAAGTATCCAAAATTCAAACAGAATTTCTAGCTCCAATAGCTAAGTAATAAAAATTTACTGAAAATCTAGATTCCTAAGCATATTTATGAAAGCACTTGTGTTCTCATTAAAAATCAAATTCCATGCAAATCAATGAATATTCTACCAATATAGGTTTTAAAGAGGTTTATATAGGACCTGATAGCTCAGCAGACTAAAAGCACTGTGATTAACACCAGCTGTCTGCAATTACTGTAAATTCGAATCTCACCAGGCTCAAAGTTGACTCAGCCTTCCATCCTTTCTAAGGTAGGTTAAATGAGGACCCAGTTTGTGGGGGCAACAAGCTGACTTTGTATAAAATATACAAAAGTATGAAGGCTATTGCTTAACGCACTGTAAGCCACCCTGAGTCTCCAGAGAAGGGCGGCATATAAATCAAATTAAAAAATTAAAATTAAAAAAAATATGCTTCTAGAAACTAGTATAAATGGGACTAAAAGACATTTACAACCTATCTTTATGACAACTGCCTATAATGTAATTCCAATTTATGCCTATTTGTAGAAGACTTTGGCTTCTCTCATTCAAATGTTCAAACAGTAATAACACTAAGAAAAATTACATATTGTCAAAAAAAAAAAGAGGAAAAGAAACAAAGTTAGTTCACTTTAATATTCAATCATGTTTATATGAAGTGAAAATTGACCTTATTTATAGAAAGCCGATTTGTAATATATGTAAATAAAATAATTTAAAGGCTAAGAATTTACTTCTTCACATACTGCTTTGGCAAGATGTCTCACTAACACAATTTCATTATGTTTGGACTTGGCTATGAGAAGTTGAGTTAGCCAAGGCAATATTGACCATGACTTTGCAGTCAATTACACTATGACAAATTGCATTCAGCATCTGTCACTTAATTATGATTAAATCCTAAGAGAAGAGGTAGGAGGTGGGAAGGTAGGAGTGAGGGTAAACTAGGGAAGATGCATGTTTAGTACTCAGTCATGTTTTGATTAACACTAGTGCTTGTGTAGGCCAAACTCTGTAAAATTCCAATGTTGTAATATTTAATTGCTTTTCTCATGTATCTTATTACTGCTAAACATATATAATCTGTTTCCATATCACAGTCAGCACTGTACAGGGTTTTATCATTTCAACCATTTAATATTGTCTGCAGATCCAAAAGGCTAAAGTAAACTTAATTTGGATTAACAGCATTTGACAAATGAAAATAAATCAAAACACTTTTTACAAGGGAATTTTCACCCAAACATATTCATCAGAACTGCAGCTTTTCTTGCTCCAAGAAAACTATTTTTATTTTAAATCTTGACAAAGTAGATAATTCTTCATCCTCTAATTTTTTTGTAATAATTTCAACTTTTACAATCCCTGTCTTAAAATTTCAGCAATCCTACCAACTTTCCCATCTTACTACTTTCCAAATATAGGATACAGTTCCCATCCACCCTTCTAACATTTGTGATTTAGAATTTTTGTCATTCAGAATCCAAAAAATATTTATTTTATTTATTTGAATTTATAAACCATCCAATTCCAATAGACTACTTTTTTTAATCATAGCAATTGCATCGGGTGGCAATAATTTTGTATTTTCAAAACCTAAAAAAGTTACTGAACTTGGTATTTACTCCTAGCCAACTATCTACTGTAAAATAATAATCACAAAATGGGCCTTGATTAAAAATAATTCTGTGCTTCTTTTCTGCAAAATTAAAACAGAAAATAAATAACTGCAATATCATGCTTTATCATTACTGAATAAATAGGCAAAAATTCTCTTATTCATATAAGTTTAAAAATCACCAGAATTAGACAAACTGAAAATAAAAGCAAACCATGACAGAGATATTATTTTGATATTTTTCAGTTAATTAGAATGGGGATGGAGCTGATCAAGTAGTTGGTCCAACTGTGTTGCTGCTGCCATGGAAGGGTGGCTGCGTCTGGTTGTTATGCTGTAGATTTTTAAAGTTGTAAGGTGCCAGGAATCACCTGCGTATGGGTTACCATATTAATTTGTTTAATAAATAAATAAATTATGAATTCAATTAATGTTCATGCTGAGCTAGCACTAGGTCTTTTATTTTTTTACTATTTTTCTATTATTAAGAAATTAACGCCTACTGTTATAAATCCAAACCAGACCACTTCTCAGTCCCTTACAAACTTGATTCCTTTCTACATTTAATAAGTATACTGGATGTAGTACCAAATCCAGCACTTAAACCATAGTTTCTCATTCTGTACCTTATTTTTGTCTAATGAAGAACTGTGAATGGAAATGTTAAGAGTATCAGTTTAACTTAATCAATGCAAATAGAGTTTGTATCCTCAGCACATATTCAGTATATGACTTGTATTTTCAACTGGTAGATTATAGGCACAGCATCTTGACTTGCAAAACTGCTTTTAAATTAGAGCTCCTAGTTTGCACAAAATAGTGGGATCATTCTCACAATAAACTGAGCTTTGCTAGCATTTATGGCATATTGCCTCAAACATGCTAAAGTTGGCTAAAATAGTCTTTACTATTACTATGGAACAGGAATAGATCTAAGAGACTCTTAAATTTAACCTTCTCTATTTTCCTAAATAGCATTGTGTAAAAACCTGATTGATCAAAGCTATGCTGGGCAGAAGATAAATATATACCTATCTAATGATGAACTCAGTATAAACTTAGTCATAAAATGAGTAAATGAAAAATAGGAATTAAAAAATAAAATGAAATATAAAATATATCTAAATGATTTCAAATAGAAAAACATATATCTTTAAGCTGTGTATGTAAAACTGAGGTTCTATCTAATAAAAGATAGAAAAATGAGGATTTTAAAATGAGGAACAGACCTTTTTTACTGTAGTGTCAACACTTGGTCTTGGAAAGAAATAGATGTAGAGGGAAAGAAACAAAAGAAACTAGAGAAGAGTTGAACTGTTATAGGAAGAGAAAGTATGAGTTCTTTATGAAAAAGTATTAGAAGTCAATTTCTTATCACAATTAAGGGAAAGTAGACACCAGGAAATATGTTGTTGAAGCAGTTTAGAACATAGCTAATATGTTATAGTATGCCACAGAAGAGTATGGAATTATGCTAATGGGAATTATTAAAAATATATTTGATGGAATGATAAAAGAGGCCATCAATAAGAAAGATGCACATAAAACGATTGCTTCAAAAATGACAGTAAAATATTGTGTGACTATAGAGACAAAAAGACTCCATATTGCAAAGAATATTGTCAAAGACCCCAATGAATAGCTAAGAACAAAGGAAGCAGAGAAAATACAGAGCTATCTTAACTGAAAGAAAAATAGCTTTGGAAGTGAAGAAAACTAAACTAGAGTTGCCACCGAATGGACATAAAAATAAAGAGGAGAAACTAAAGAGATAGAATGTTAGAAGGAATATTTAGAAGTTAGTATAGGGACAATGGTCCCTATAGAGGATTATAGATAATTCTATATATCTATAGAGGATTATAGA